AAGAAGAGCGGTGGTGTTTGTTTTGTTTTTTAATGTCTTCAGAGGATTTTGGTCTTCTAGGAATTGATCAGTGAGAAGTGCTTGCCCGTGCTGACCCCTGGCCCAGCTCTTCACAGCTGCCTTGAGTTTAGCTTGCCTCTCAGTACAGGGATCAGTAGCTTGGCATGAATAATGTGATTTCAGACCCTAAAAACTTGGCCTTTGCTAGAAAGGGAAGACCATGACGCAGACACTGGTTTTAGCAGCTCTAGGAAAAAGAGTATCAGCCAGCTTGAGATGGGATGAGTATATGGATTCCAGTAATTTAAACTCGTTTGTAATTTTTAACTTCATAGGTAAATTCCATTAATGTGTAGCACAATATTGAATAGCCTTCAGCAATGCTAAACACCAGCTAGCCTTTGATAAAAATTAACAGCAAGTGAAAATTATCCTCCTTTTTTTGGTCACCTACTTATAGATAGCCATAAAATTAAAAAAAATTGTTCCTTTTTTGAGAAAGATAGCTCATACTCACTGGATCACTCCTCAGATGAATACAACAGCTGAGGCTGGGCTGGCCAGAGCCTAGAACTCAGTGCAGCTTTCCCACATGGGTGGCAGGGACCCAAGTAGTTAAGCGGTACCTACTGCCTTCCACAGTGTACATTGGCAGGAAGCTGGAAATGGGAATGGAGGTAGGACTTGAAACCAGATGCTCCAATATAGAAATGAGTGTGCCAAGTGGCATCCTAACTGCTAGGCCAAATATGACTGCTCCTGTTTACCAAATTTGAAATGATATTGCTTTGTCAAATGTCTTGATCCATTTACTGTTGCTATAACAGAATGAGCCTGAAAGTGGTTAATTATAAAGAAAGGAGGTTTATTTTGGTTCATGGATTCAAAGGCTGGGAAGTCCAAGAGTATGATATTGGCATTTACTTGGCTTTTAAAATTTTTTTTAGAATGATTATTTATTGTATTTGAAAGGCAGAGTGACAGAAAGAGATCTTCTGTCTGCTAATTCACTCCCCAAATGTCTGCAACTGCTGGGGTTGGTCTAGGCCTAGGCTAAAGTCAGGAGCCAGAAACTATCCTTGTCGCCCATGTAGGTGGCAGGGCTCAAGTATGTGAGCCATCTTTCACTACCTTCCCAGGCATATTAACAGGGAGCTGGGTTGGAAGTATATCAGCCAGAACTCAAGTCAGCACTCCAGAATGGGATGCCAGTGTCACAAGCTGAGACTTAACCAACTGCAACCCACTGCTTCACAACACCAGCCCCTTCCTTACTTTCCAGTGAGGACCTCTTGCTGCTTCATCTTGTGGAAGAAAGCAGAAAGGCAAGCAGATGTTAGTGAAGGAGACAAAATGTGAGGGGCAGCCTCCTCCAACTGCAAAACCTTCAGAGGGAACTACTGCATCCACAAAGGCATCGATCCCTCTTAGTGACCTAACCGCCTCTTAAGCACCCCAGCATCTCTCAATATTGTTACATTGGGAATCAAGTTACAGAAGGGGTTTTGTAAATCCCCAAATGCCATTGGTTTCAGAGTCAGAAGCTCTTGACATGCAACACTCACACATAGATTTCCAGATTGGTTTCTGTAGTGACTTAAATAAGAGGCATTGGTGTTTGAACAAGAAAGAAACTAAAAATATATGAAACCAGATGATTGATTTTGATTTCACAGAGAATGCAGGGTAGGAAGGAAGGAAATTTATGTTATACAACAGGAAAAAAATTTGATTTGTATAAAAAGAACAAATTTAAAATATTTTAGAGTGTTATGTTTAGTTTTTATTTGCTTTATGTATTTATTAAACTGATTTTAGACTCAAAAGAGCAATTGTTTTCAATTTTGTGGCTATAAAATGTGACTTATAAGGAGCTCTTAATATGACATAAACATGCATAACTTACTATGTATTGTCTCTTAAAATGGTCACTACCCCCAGCGCCTGGAATGTGGTATAGCAAATTAAGCCTCTGTCTGCAGTGCCTGCATCCCATATGGGTGCCAGTTTGAGTCCTGGCTGTTCCATTTCTGATCCAAGTCCTTGAGCCCCTACACCCACATGGCAGACTCAGATGAAGCTCTTGGCTGCTGGCTTCATCCTGGTCCAGCCCTGGCCATTGCGGCCATTTGGGGAGTGAACCAGTGGATGGAAGATTCGTTCTCTGATTCAAAGGTTGAGACATTTTCTTTAGGAGAAGAAGAGGACCTGTGCTTTATAATATATACTAAGGGGCTGTCATGCACGCAACTCAGGGGCTTTCCATCTGCCTTGAAGTGAGGTGGCAAATGCAGCAGTGCCTTAAAGAGCATCTTTCTCTCCAGAAAAATGGTGAAATAGTCCACTAAGCTCACTGGCTCAAAAGCAGTGAAATATTTTTCAAGGTGATTAAAATAAGATGGAAGCCTGCCTTGGATTCTTGTTTATGGGTGGGGTCAGCACAGGTGCTAAGATGCTGTGCACAGATGATGATTGAATACTCACCACTCCCCGTGATGTTCCCCACTGAGCAGGGAGTCAGGAGGACTGAGGAACTTGCCCAAAAGCACACAGCCAGATCTTGTGTCTGTGTGGAGGGGTCTGGCAATGAAGGGGTTGAGTGAAAGAGCTCTTAGAAAGAGAGTCAGGAGAACTAAGTGATGGAGGAAGCTGAGTTACAGAATATAGATGGACCCACTAATAGTTTCCTTGTTTTGCTAATAATGATTGGGAGGGAGAGTGTATTGCTAGAAAGATTCAGAAATGAAATATAGTTATAAAGCAGATATGTGGCCATGGTCTGAGCACCTTTGGCCAGGCTTTGCCCCCTCCCCACAGTGCCCACACTTCTGATCTCAGCTGCTACCAATTCTACATGACTTTGCGGAGGACCGTAGGTTTGTAAAGGATCACAACAACTTTATTTTTGCCTAATAACCAACTTTGCTAATGCAGAAAGGATATTCAGGCCAGCCTTCAGCTTGAGAGTCACTGGTTTGGGTCAATGGAGAACAGGTTGAGTCTGGCCCAGCCAGCTGCCTCTCTTTTCTCTGGTACCTGTCAGCATATCTCTCTGTAGTGTAGCTACTAAAGAGCAAACGATGCTTGCTTAGCAGTGAACCACAAGTTAACAAGTTGTTTTATTTTATCATTAGTGGAATGCTATAACTGGTCTACTGCCCTGTAGATCCATCTTTCCTGGGCATGTGCTTTTATTCCAAAACTGTTTAGATCTGTTTACTTAGGTATCCTGATGTGGACTCTTGTGTTTCTGTCCCTCAGAATCCAAAAGTTGAAATGTAATCCACAATGTGGTGGTACTAAGAAGCGGGGTTTTAGAGAGATGACTAGATCTCGAGGCCTCAGCTTCATGAATGGAATTAGTGCCCTCATAGAAGAGGCCTGAGGTAGCTTGTTCCATCTTCCACCCTGGAGGATGTATAAAAGGCTGTCTGGGATGAGCAAGCCCTCACCAGACAGCACACCTTCCAGCACCTTGATCTTGGACTTGCCAGCCTCTGGGAATTGTAAGCAGTAAATTTGTGTTGTTGATTAATTACTGATCCTGTGGTATTTTTTTATGGCAGCTGGAATGGACTAAGGTGGTATCATGGTTGCAAACATGCAGAATATGAATGAACCTTCAGTATGTTAGCAGCATATTAACAGCTATATTTAAATATTTAAATAACTTCTTTAGAAATTTTTAATAGGCGCCGAGTTCTAGTCCCAGCTGCTCCTCTTCCAGTCCAGTTCTCTGCTGTGGCCTGGGAAGGCAGTGGAGGATGGCCCAGGTGCTTGGGCGCTTGCACCTGCATGGGAGACCTGGAGGAGGCACCTGGCTCCTGGCTTCAGATCAGCCTAGCTCCCGCCATAGCGGCCATTTGGGGGGTGAACCTACGGAAGGAAGACCTTTCTCTCTGTCTCTCTCTCTCACTAACTCCATCTGTCAAAAAAAAAAAAGTTTTTAGTTGAAGACAGCACTGACCTAGTTTGTTGCTGTTTTTCCCCTTTCCATCAAAGAGAGACAGAGCGTACATTGGATATAGTGTAAATGTTTTGTTAGATATTGGCAGTGTTCTCTGTTTTCTTAAGTACTTGAACCAGTGAACCACTGAGTTGCAACTGTGAACTTTAAAACATCAGATTGCACTCACTTGTTTTACTCTTTTTCCCCACTGAATTGGATTTCAGCTACCAAGAACTTTTAAATCATTACACTCATGGAATGCTTAGCTTTTGCAACATTGTAGTTTATGGGATAAATTACCTTCAAAGACCAGGATGGAGATGTATTAAATGTTTATTTCTTAGCTTTATGTTTTGCTTGTGTGTTTTCATTATTCTGAAGAAGAGATACAAAAAAATTAATGCCGTAGTTAAATTTAAAATGCCTGAGTTGTGAAGCATTGAACCTGATTAAAAGTTAAAGTGGTGCCCTGACTCAATCACCAGCACCTTTCATAAAAGTCCATCAGCTTGGTGGCTCAATTGTGCATAAAATGAGGCAAGATTTAATTTAATGATTATTACATGTAACATTTGTACACAGAAAGATGTACACTTTCTTAAAAAAGATTCATGTAGTTGTCTCTCTGCCTCTCTTTTTCTCTCTGTGTAACTCTGACTTTCAAATAAAATAAATCTTTTAAAAAATTTTTAAAAAAGACTCATGTATTTGAAAGAGTGACAGAAAAGTGGGGAGAAAGTGAGATCCATCTTCCATCCTGTGGTTAATCCCTAAATGGCCATAATACACAGATTTGGGCCAGGCTAAAACCAGAAGCAAGGAACTCCGTTTGGTCTCCCATTTTGGTGGCAGGAGTCCGAACACTTGGGCCATCTTCCACTGCCTTCCCAAGTGCATTAACAATAAGCTGGATCTAAAGTGGAGGAGCTGAGACCCAAACCCGCACTCCAATATGGGATGCCAAAGTCCCAAGTGTCTTCATTGGACAGAGCTAGACACCGCACAAGGCAGGACATTGTTTTATGGCCTATGTGGGTATGTTTCATTGTAGGTGCTGGACTGGATCGAGAACCATGGAGAGGCGTTCCTGAGCAAACATACAGGTGTAGGGAAATCTCTTCATCGGGCCAGAGCTTTGCAGAAGCGTCATGAAGATTTTGAAGAAGTAGCACAGGTAAAACAATAACTTTCATTGTTTTCTCCCCTAAAGATCTGTGTGACTGCTTTTGAATTAAAATGTTAACTGCAACTGAGGTGAGTTTGTCTTAGCTGGAAGTGTTTGAGGTGACTCAGATAAAGTCAAATACTCAGATTCCAGAGTGAAATTGTCATTGCGTAGGCAGAAACATGATTTAGTCCATTGACTCTTTTGTAAAATATGGTGTTCAGGAATCAGAAATACATCTTGGATGCTTTTGTCATATTTATTGTACCAGTGTCTGCTGACTAGTTTGTGGAATTTCAAATCATATTCAGAGAATAGCAGTCCTTCTTGCATGTCTTTAAAGATGGGACAGCATTTGTTGTCCTGTTTCATTTCAATTAAATGTGTTTCCTTAGGGACCAGGAACTTCTAGTCTAGTTTGTTTAGAGCCTTGGATTTGTGGAGTTTGAACACTGGCTATAATCAAAGAAGGAGGCACCTTTCTCTGAAGGGAGGAAGGAAACTCCACTGTGATATGGCCTTGACTAAACAAGTTCAGAGTTGGTGAACTCAAGGGGCTTCCATAGCCTTGACAGCTCGTGGCAAGAGCCTCGGGTGATTACTGACATCATAAATAAGGGTGTCAATTGCTAAATCAACAACAGGAGTCACTGGGCACATGCTCCCCATGTAGGGTCTCTGTCCTTAGTGTGTTTTACTATGAGAGTTTAAGACAACACTACTAGTCCAACAATACTCTATATCTTGTGCGGTTATGTGAGTGCAGTCTGTTGAAATCTTTGCTTAGTATATACTAAGTTGATCTTCTGTATATAAGGATAATTGAAAATGAAACTCGATGAAGGGTGGGATGGGAGAGGGAGTGGGAGAGGGGAGGGCTGGGGGAGGGAGAGAGGTTACGGGGGGGAAGCCACAATAATACAAAAGTTGCACTTTGTAAATTCACATTTATTAAATTAAAAAAATGGAAAAAAAAACATTGGCTGTATTATAAGTGTGTGACTTTGGATACATTAAAAGTGCTCTAAAGTTAACTTTCTGATCTGAAAAATCCTACACACAACACAAAGAGGGAAAGATGAAGGGTGAGAGAGAGAAAAAGAGAACCAGAGTAAAAGAGAACCAAAAGGGAGGCAGAGAAAAGGAAACCATCTAAGTAGGACAAAACCAATCTCACCTTATGGTAAACTGAGGAACATAAAAAAAAATTCTTAAGAACACAGAAATTATAAAATGACACCGTGAGAATGACTATTTGAAGAAAAACCTGTGTTTCATCAGTAATGATAGATTTCAGAAAACAGTGGAATGGAGAATGAGGGAGGGTAACTCTAAACCTTGAATTCTGTACCTAGCTCAACTGTCATTCAATAGTGAGGATAAACTGTAGACCAAAACCGAGACTATTTCATCAGAAAAACTGAAGTGTTTACTAAGAATAATTAAGTGTCCCATGTAATTTACACTCTACAAGAACAGAGGCTTTGTTTAATCCTGTATCACTAGCATGTAGGGCAATGTCTGGCATATTTTAAGTATTTGGCAAAATTTTTCCATGAATTAATTCAATGAATAAAATGGGGGTATGACAAGAAAGGACTGGAATTAACAAGAGCAAAGAAATTGGGACATATGGCTGTAGATAAAGGACTGACCAATTAAACTTTGAGAGGTAGCTAAAACAAATGAAAACCACAGTGCCAGCTGCCCTGCTGTGAGAGGGAGAAGTGTGTTCTGAAGAGGATGGCAGGAGCCACTGTGTCCATCCTGGATGAATAAGTCAGCTGTGCCTGTTAACATTTCTGAATGTCCACTGAAAGTACAGATAGAAAACATTGCTTCCAAATAAATTTAAAAGGTAGAGAAATATAAAAAACCAGGAATCAAAGCCGCTAAAATGGATCTGGAGGAAGCAAAAGAAATAACAAAAATCATGGTAGAAATCACAAAGTAAATAATCTGTCCAAAAATATCAGTAATTACAGTAAATGGAAAGTAGATTATACTCATCAAAAACAGATTCTCAGTTTGAATAGCTCTTAAAGCTATGCTATTTGTTGGTTTTAAAGGGTATACCTAAAGCATAGATACCCAAGAAGTTTGAAAGTACGTTAAATATTAGAAAATGATCCACCAGGAAAATATTGAACAAAAGAAAGTTGGTAAAAGAATATTAATACTAGAGCATAGACTTGAAAACATGAAAAGTTTATCATAAAAAGAAGAGTTATCAATATAGCTCTAACAACGTAGCCTCATAATCTGTTTTAAAAATGTGCGTTAAACCATGACTTTGTGATCAGTACATTTTACGTGATGAAAGGTTCAATTGCACACTAAAATATGGGCTGGAATTATAGGATAATAAGCAAATTACACTTAAGTCTGATTCCATGAAAATTCCTGTAAACAATGACATTCCTTGAATATCTTCATTTTGTAAAGTAAAAATGCAAGTCTCAACCTTGTGCTTTATCAGTCTCAAGAAACGAGTAGGGAAGATTGAATTCCACAGCTTTGGCACATTCACTTCATTTATCTTTGGGGCCCTTCTCTTGTTCACATTACATGTGGCCTCTCTATGTTCACTTGCTAGGAAATATTTTGCCTTCCTGTAGCAGAAAAAAATGTGGGAAATGTGCTCTTATCTCTCCTTCACTTTTTTCCTAAGATAAACTGATGCTGTAATTACTGTGATTTGAGGATGAATGTGGAATTTGGGTTATATGACCAAAGATTTAAGGCACCAAAGAATTTAGAGGCAGAACTGCAAACAGCCAAGCTCTGGAGATGTGGAGGCTCTTGCCTTGGGCAGCATATTTAAAATGACTACCAGTGGGGTCACCCTCACCTCTGCCTCACACATTTCTGTGCATCTTCTAATGTGACGGACCAAAGTAATGAAGTCCCCTCCTTCCAGTTCCTGTGGTCCTGTCCATTCTAAATGAAGACAGTGTCTTCTGTGGTTGATCTTCCCCTGTCATCTCATGTCTAACACAGCCTCAAGTCTTAGACAATCATCAGCTGTCAGCAAGCTCTCAGCAAATAGCAAGAGTAGGGAACAGTCTTTCCTGGAAACATTTCTGCCTTCAGGTTTGGGGGCAGGCAAAGAGTAATGTAGTACCTGCTCCGTGGTCATCTTTTAAATACCTGCTCCTTCTGCTACTCCTCTGAGTTTCAGTCCTTTCTCATTGCTCTTGCTCATTGTCCCTGGGATTCAAAGGAATGCCTGACTCTTGCCCAAATTCCAAGTGCTTTAGCCCTAATCTGAACTGTGCATCAAAGTTATAAACACATTTTGTTCATTTGACCAATCTGTGCACCTTTTATCTAGTTTTTCAAAGAATCATCTATTATGTGTCAGATATTCTGCCAGGCAAGGGGAGCCACAGCATGTGGCTGTAAACCTGGACCTCCTTAGCAGGCATGGCTAGCTGTCAGGGGGCTTTCCAGTGTAGTTCTTGACATTTAAGCCAAGACATGACTATTAATAAAACCCAGCAAGTGTCAAAGGAAGAAGAGGATTTTAGAAGTGAGCAATGGGGGCAACAGGTGGGACCTGAGCAGCAGGACGTGTGGCCTGCAAGGCAAGTATGTGGATCTGGTCTTCCAGGGCTAGGACCTGCATGGACACTAGGCTCTCCCCCTCTGTACCACTCTCCCCTGCAAGTCTCCATCAGGTGTGCACCCCAGCATGTGGCTTTGCCTGTGATCTCTTGATGTCTCACCTCAGCACCACCTCTTTCCCTACCCTCTCCTCAAATCCAGTGGCTGATGCTGGTCCCATCAGTTATAACCTCTTTGCCCAGCATCTTCAACTTCTCCCTCATGTACTTCTTTCCCTTCTGGCATTGAATGCCCACAGGCCCACTCCTCTCTCTCCCTGATGAATGTGACTTGCTTCTGTTATATTTTTGAGACAGTTATTGGTTTCAGAAGCAGCCACTGCTGACTTTAGACCTCTCTTTTGGAGCTGCCAGGCAGACCTAGATGCTTTGCTTGGAGGAGACATTCAGCGATTAGTTGTTGTTAATGGGGACCTGGGACCCAGTTGTTAATATAATACCCCTCTTCTTGCCAGCATCCCATACGGGCTCCAGTTTGAGCCTTGGCTGCCCCACTTCCAATCCAACTCCCTGCTAATGTGCCTTGGAAAGCAGTGGAAGACAGCACAAGTGCTTAGGCCCCTGCACCCACATGGGAGTCCTGGAAGAAGCTCCTGGCTCCTGGCTTTGTCCTGGCCCAGCCCTAGCTATAGTGTGACCCAGTGGATGGAAGATGGATCTCTTTCTCCTTCTCTCTCTGAATTTATGCCTTTCAAATAAGTAAATAAAATCTTTAAGAAAAAGATTTATTTTGAAAAGTGGAGTGACAGAGAGATGGGGAGAGAAACAGAAGGAGACAGACCTTCTATCAACTGGTTCACTCCCCACGTGGCTATAACAGCTCAGGGATCACCCAGGTTTAAGCCAGGAGCCAAGAACTCCATGCAGGTCTCTTGTATGGGTGGCAGGTGCCCAAGCACTAGGGCCATGTTCCTCTGACTTCCCAGGCACATTAGCAGGGAGCTGAATAGGAAATGGAGCAGCTGGAACTTGAATCTGCACTCTGATACAGGATGCCAATGTCCTAAGTGTTGGTTTAACCCATTGTACCACAACACTAGCCCCCATTTCAGACTCATTCTAAAAGGATTTGGCTCTGCCACAAAAATGACACCATCAGGTATTGTAAACAGAGGGACCGCCCTGTAGGAGAGGAAATAACCATAATTAAATGTGGTAAGGTAGCCATGGAGCTATGAGACATGAAGAAATATGGTGGACTCTTTCTCTGCCACTCAACCTTGTTTAATCTGAGCTCTCTAGTAACATTTTTAAAAAAAGATTTATTTTATTTATTTGAAGGGTAGAATTACAAAGAGAGGTAGGGACAGAGAGGTCTTCCATCCACTAGTTCATTCCACAAATGGTCACAATGGCTGGGGCTGGGCCAGGCCAAAGCCAGGA